GGGGGCAGATCATCTGGCTATGTGAACTTTTGAAATATTTCTGTTAGATGGTCGTAGCTACCACAGAAAATAGTCGATTCTTGCCTGAAATAGCATATTTTCACACTCAATTAAAATCACCAATAACATGATCTCAGGAAAGTTGTGTACATCTCGCAGCGTCATAAGCAAAACACACATCTCTTTCTTGTCCAGATTCTGCAATGTAATGCAAATTATTGTTTTTGTAACTCAAAGCGCGTGCTCAATCATGCCACGTGTTTGTTAATTGTGGTTGTTGTTCTTCACTCGGATTCTCCGCTATACCGTTTTTATTTCATTTTTCTTATCACTGCCAAACACGTGCGTATACCACCGACCTTAAGTATAGTGCATCAAATTAAACTAGCTTCCTGAAAAGGTGTCCTTCGGTGTTGTGTAATTTATTTTTCATAGCATAGGTGGTCAGAGCCTCGAATCCTGAACTGCAAATGTTCCACGCCGCATTATTTTTTTCTCGCGTTTTCGCGATAAAACACGTCAGCCCTGCCATGCTGGGATCAAACACACCAGCGTCGGCAGTTATTTGCGAAGGATTGATCTACGCAAATATTTCCACTCGCTATTCATGAATTGCCACAGTTCGTCAAAATCTGGAGGACCTAACTGCAGAGTAAAAACGGCAAAAAAAAAAAAAAAAGAATAAAACGATGTCGGTCAGTAAACGGAACTTCCATGGCGGGGCTCGCCAGCCTGAACAGCAAAGCGCCGATGCCGGCCAGTCACTGAACTTCCGTGTAAATACTGGCCATCAAAGACAGCAAAATACCAATGCCGGCCAGTTACTGGAACCTCCATAGAAAGACTGGCCAGAAGAGACAGCAAAAACCCGATGCCGGCCAGTCACTGTAACTTCTTCGGCGGAACTGGCCAGTGAGCAAGACGAAACCCCGACGCCAGCCGGGGCCAGTAGCTCACCGGCGCAAATGGCCGGGCGCCGCCATCCTGTTACCGGGACCGGCCGGCGTAGTCCCGATACCGGCCGACGCGGTGTGCTACCTGGGATCATGTTACTGAGAACTATAATAGTTGCGATTTGCTGTTACGTATACCATGTGAGATAAAACGCCGTCACAGGAACAACGGGAACATCAATCAGCTTTACTAACCCAAGACATGACGAAAGCATGGTCCTGCTCGAGGAGGCTCGGCGTGAAAGCGTCGCAGTCTTGGGCTCCCGCAGGGACATGTACCGATGTATCACTACACCACAGGCGTAAAAAAAGGTCTGTTTGGATGAAAAGCTGGATAGATTTGCCGGAACGATCGCAGCGAGCTAGGCGAGGTACGACAGAAGCTTTTTGTAAAATGGACCCTGACGAGTTTTGGAAACTGCAATGCGTCAGCCTGGAACAGTTTCTGCAGCTCTATTCGAGCGTGGAACTAAGAGCCGCCCCACAAACCGAACAGAACACAGTGATTCGCCAATTTTGTTTTTCCTCAGGAAACAAAAAAAAACAAAAAAACACAACAACAAAAAAATTTGTTTACCTGTACCACACTAAATGCTTCTCAAGAGACTGAAGCGGTTTTGTATTTAAGGAAAATTACCAAAATTGTCTTCATGTGGCGGCCAAGATCACGAATATCGAGATTATTTTTCAATTTGGTGCCCGTAGGCTGCAGAAATTATTTTTGAAAGTTAATATCAAAGTGCACGGGGAGTGGCGCGATACTAGGAGTTTTCGGAATTCCTGCTCTGACGCATCTTCAGCACCTGTCAAAGCTATGCGCGTGCATTCTTACTCTCTTCGAAAAGGTCAGAAATAGACGTCACCGACTGACGTCAGTGCGGAAAAATACACCTTGCAAGCTTCCGATTGCACGCGCTGCCCAAACGAGCGACACGCGATTGGCGGCCCAAAGACGACGTCACAACTGGCCGGAGGAGTTTGGGGTTTTCTCACGTTTAGTATAAATCTTCCTGTGAAATGAACGTACTATTCAAATTCACGGGATAAAAATACTCTAGGATTCTCCTCTAACTCGTTTTTATTTTTTTCTCAAGCATAGTTTTAGCTTCCTTTTAAAAGCTCTCAGCTATTCAGTCTATTCACTCCGCGTGCCCGCGGACTGAAATAATATGTTATTCTATTGTAGTAATTTGTTCTTTCAAGAACATAACATTTTCGTTGTTACTAATTAAGAAGAAAATTTGAAATCTTTTTTGACAACTTACGATCTAAAACGAGGACAAGCGGACTCCGTTGATTCCGACGAATTGCCCGACGTGCCTCAATCGATGTCACGGTCCACGTCATTCATAAGCTGGATATTTCCGCAGTCTCGGGCGTCCCTATTATCGGTCCCGGTGTGATTGTTGCTGGTTCTCTTCAATTAATTTGCGCCCCGCGCAAGCGCAACATTGGTCTCGTAAAAATCACCTGCAAGGTACTTGGCGTTCATATCAATCGTTAAACTTAACTTTAAAGTGGTCTTCATTGTCCCTTCAAGTTTTTTTTTTTTTTCTTTTTTAAGAGAATCGCGTTTGAGTAATGACGAAATCCACTCGTCGTTTGGGCGCGATCCGGGATCGACCTTTTTGGAGGGCGCGTTCGCCACTGGTCCTTTGAGATGAACCCGGATGTCTTTCGCACGTCCTTTTGGAGCAGCGCCGACTCTGATTTAGGATTCGGAACGCCCAGATCTCGATCGGCTGATCTTCCCGGAGCCGAGTGGAAGCCGATCTCTGGGAGACGTAACTTCCTGCCTCGCCAAGCATGATGGGAACGGCGATCGACCGACGCCTGATGGCGCTTTCCAGAAATGACGATAGCCCAGCGCGATGGCAATGCCGGGACGATAGGCGGTACCTCGCGGAAGCCTGTCGTCTTCCGATGGTAGAGTCGGAGGCGCGGTGGCGCCGCACGAATCGGATGCTCCGTAGTGGATTTATTCTAATATGCAAAACGACCAGGGGAATGGTCGTTTTGAGACGCCTGCGACCGCTTACAAAGAGTGAACACAGTGGCGTCATCTAACGGGGAGCCCTGGATACCTCCCGTCTCTCTACAGTTTTGGGTGTCATCCTTAGGCATTACTAAAATAAAACGGATAAAAAAGTAGATTGATCTAAAAACTGAAAATAAACGTACAATAAGGTGAACTCGCACCTCTAAGTAAAGTAAAAAACAGCATGCAGCCCGTGACTGTGACAAGCACTGATCTCTATGTCTATTTGCTGGATCGCGTTTGACCAGCTCCTCCTATGGACCGGAATGCGGTCACTGGCGGCCATCTTTAGGTAGAGTTATATCATCTCTAGCCATCATAGTAATATGGCGGACAGCGCAATGGCGGCAGGCTGCCATTAAATAGCCGTAGATCTAGTACACTGTACCGTGGGTGATATTTCGTGCTTGATTGAAGTTGTTCGACGAAGCAGATACTTGAAACCCGGCGTGAACGGTAGCCTCATCTTTGAGGACCCGGCAAAAGTTCTACGAAAGCGCAACACCGGGGGAAAGCAGCGCAGCTCGCATCAAAAGCAGACTCCGTACCGTCGTCTGCTTTCGATGCTTCTTTCGATGCGACTTTTGATACGTGCTGTGCTGCTTTTCTCCCGGTGCTGCGATTTTGTGAAACTTTTACCAAGTCCTCAAAAACCGGACTACTGTTCACGCCGGGTTTTAAAAACATGTTTCGTCAAATAATTTTAATTAAGCACGCAATATTACCCACGATATTTTGACCGCAGCCTGCCAACCCACCTGCCAAAACGCTATCTGCCATGGATGGATGATAGCGGCTGCAGCAGCTTACACTGGCTAGAGGTGATATAACTCTACCTAAAGATGGCTGCCAGTGACCGCATTCGCGGAGCGGGCAAACGCGATCCAGCAATTGTCATAGAGATCAGTGGTGACAAGGGACCGATGACCCAATGTTGCCGGATTTAGCTTCCTTTGTAGGTACTCTGTAGTCTAGAACATTTCGAACATGAACGAGCGATACGTTACAAGATGAGAACGTTATAGCAGAGACGAAAAAGATAAAATGAGAAATTTGGCTGGTGGGTCCCTAGCCGCGTGCCTTCCCGTGGGAGATGCGCGCGATGCCAACTCGGTCGTGAATATGTCAATAGAAATCACTTGAGTAAACGTAGCCCTCGAGAGCTGTTCTGAGCTTCCCTAGCTGCAAGTCAGATGCCGCTCATAAAGTACAGAATTATTTAATCCCAGTTTTACGTGCAATGACTGTTATTCAGTGTACGGAATAGTACTTTTTTTCTATCGAAGCGACGAGAGATTTGAGGAAGCCATTTGCCGAAAACCGGTGTATTTTTCGCGTCTCCGACGAGCCGGTTTCGTGACAGTTGCATGTCTCGTTAACCGCGGCGTCTATGTCTGGCCGGCATGTGACGTCATATTGCATACTTATTTTCACGCAGTGATGCAGAAGCCACGTGCTCAGCAAGCAATGGCCACCAGAATGGCCGCTGATGTGACGTCAATGCAAGCCATGTTTAGTCTCTACCGCGATAACGAAACCGTAGGTGTCTCTTCTTTGTGCTGCTTCAATGGACCCTTTTCAAAAGTCAGTCTACCTACCACTTGCAGAGCCGAACTCGACGCACTAATGGCGGCGCTACGCAGCTTCAGCAACCTTAGAGGAGCGAGCGTCTTTGGAAGCATAACACAGAGAAGCTGAGAATCCATTCTAACATGTTGGTCCTTGTAAGTCGCCTTTGATTCACAAAATCGGGAGTGTTTGAAGGTAGACAATCTTGATATTCTATCACCGTCATTAGTGCGGATAAATTGGAGCTATTGAGACTGCCACGAAATGGCTCTGATGTTGGAAAAAGGTCAATTGCCGGTGTGCAAAAGCTGTCTTTAACAACATAATAAATTCAACTTCCTGTGTGCGTCATTTGACGTATTGTGTTCATTATCTCGCAATTTGTGTATTATGTTAAAGGGCGCTTAACCTTTTCACCTTTTAAAAATGTTCGTGACAAAGGCATTCTTATATTTCCAAGTATAAATTTCTCTCCTTAACCCACGTTTTTATGACGGAAAATGTATTCGGCTACACTCATTATTTTCATCGTTGCTACTGCTCACGCCGGTGATGTATTGATTCTATTTATGTAGACGCTTCCGCATGGGGTTTTTGTAAGTAATGTAAAATCGAATTTTACGTTTCTCCTAGGCTTAAGCCTACGAGCTTTTGGGCAGGATAAACAGTTATCATGGAAATTCCGCACACATTATTGCAGACGAGAAATAATTTGTATTACGGCATGCACCATGCCCCCGAAAGGTGTAGGGTTTAAATAGGCTTGGGTAGACATACTCCAGTGATTGTACTCATAGATTCCTTCATAGTCGCTGACAAATATGACGCGCAGCGTGTGGGTTAATATTATAATCTTAATTCTTACGTCGTGATGGCTTTTTCCGTGTTCTTATCCTCTAATACCGCGATCCTACTGGATGAGAATCAATAATGAGATGCTCGTTAGTCAGCACGCCCTTCACCTAGGTTGTCATTGATTGTAGGAGCGGCTTCATAAAAACAATATGCCGCTATATCTCCTGATAACACGGGTTGATTCGGATACTTTAATAAGTTGCTATCCTATCGGGTGTATCAAGTACCTGCCAGACTCTAAATCGACCGCAAAATTCGGTTTCTTAAACCATCGCGCTACGATTTTGTGCTGCGTTTCCCACAGGCGGCACATATGTTCCTATAAAATTTGCAAAGAGTGAACTTACCTGAGGCAAAAAAGTAAAGAAAGCAATAGTCATAATTCCTGTGGAAACCCAGCGAAGCCACCGTTCTTCATTCAATAGGGTGCCCTGTTGTTTGAAAACTGGTGACTTCGCTACGTTTCCATAGGAATTAAGCCTTTTTTTTACATTTTTCTCAGGTAAGTTCGCTGTTTGCAAGGTTTATAGAAGAAATACACCACCTGTGGGCAAAACCGCAGAATATCGTAGCGCGATAGTTTAAGAAAACGAATTTTGCGGTCGATTTAAAGTGTTTGGCGGCTACTTGATACACCCGGTACTACATCCCAATGTTTTCAAAAACACAAGCAAAATAAAACTGCGACTAGGTTAACGCAAACCTAGTGATTATATGTTTTTATATCTGTGGACATAGAAGTTGCCAACGTAATTCTTGTACTCTTAACCAAATATAGAAATTATTTTTTTATATAGATTTGTCAAAATAACTTAGATTAAGCAGCGTTCTTAAGAACCGCTGGCTCCAAGGAATGAATTGAAGCCAGCAGTACGTAAGCTGCTTTCCTCGTTCTAAAAAGTAGTCCGTCTATTTCCGCACTTCGACGTCATATAAGTTCCATGCCGTCGGCCCATATCCTGGCGGTGTCGCAGCGGTGGTGGTACGAGCCAAAGGTAGGACCTTTCCATCGCAATTTCGGCAGGAAATTCTAACACCAAGCGCAATGATTGCGACGACCGAAAATATGACGCTTTGGCTCCTGTGATGTCGTTTGCGAACACTTCGGGATTACTTTAAAGGTATGGATGCGATAGGATCCTGAAAGCAACAGTCACAGACGAGTTCTGTAGGCATCGTACTCCACAGTTCAGCCAACGAAAAGGCGTCACGAATAGGTAGAAAGAGACACCGAGGTCATCGTACCGGAAGCAGTTGTTCGCGTATTCAACGTCTGACGTACGTCAGGTCTACGTAAAGACCGAGCATTTGGTTCCTCCTATTACACCTACAAAAAACGAGAGGATGAAAATGTGGCTTATTAATCCGGAACGCCAATAGCATTGTGCGTGCACGGAATGCACAATCACGAAATATTTGTGTTCACCCGAGAAGATTACTATTCGCGCTTTTCTTAGCTTCTGTTTGTTCATATTACGTGTACAATCGGAGTTACCAAAAGTATGTGACCGTCCCAAAACGATGTTAGATTCATCATGGTGCCGTACAATTAGAGCGCTGACGAGCGAAAAGTTTGATAGATATCCAAAAGGTTTTCGCAAGAACAAGAACGAAGGCTTGCTACAAACTACTAAGATTATGACCATTATTAATAAAATCTTGGCAACAACGTAATCTAGATTCTTCAGTTTCTTAGTTTTATCAGCTATGGCACTCTAATAGCATTTTGAAGTCTAGCGAAGTAGCATATCTTCTCATGAGCTGCAGACTAGGAAATCGATATGAATGAATAAATAGTGTTAAGAAAACACGATAGAAAGATGCCCCTCCCCCCGCACACCCCCCCCCCCCTCCTTCCGCCTCCCACGATTTTCCCAGTTTGTTCCGTTCGAACTATTCACATGAGTTTAGGCTTGCTTCCCGTGGTTTGCTTTTATTGTATTACGTTTCCAACGCCTTGTCATTGCAGAAAGGCTTTCTTAATTTTGTTCAGTTAATTGTCCTTTGTTTGTGAAAGGGAACTTTACTGGGATATCTAGGTACGATTTTTTTTTATAAGCAAAACACCGTGACTTGTGACCACCCTTTAGTTTCTTGCTCTGTACCGAGAAGTTTGTTGTGAGTATGGAACGGTCGGATAACAGGAGCGGTTACGTTCCAGGTGTCGTGTATCCGGTTTTGATTGAAAACAGAAGCGGCAACTCAAGAGGCGCTGTTCAACTTTCTAAAGACTACGTCATAGACTTGGAAGAACCCAGTGTTTTAGGGGACAGTCTGTATTTTACCGAGGCTAGGTATGGAGAGCTGAATCACGAATTGGTAAGGAAAGATTACCTTTCACAAGAAAGCATGCTTCCGCCTCATTGTTTGAAATTCACTTAATTTAATTAGAAAATAAACATTCCACCTGTTTAATCGCTCAGAAGTTATTTGATGTGTCCGCTAGTGCCTTTGGAGGTTTTCGTACATTTCAAAATGCCGTTCAAGCAGAATTGTCTCCGCTCTTAATAACGCGAATAACGCACATTTGTTTAAATGACGTGCCGACTCCCACGATTTCTTTTTTGCATTCTTTGAGAAAGTTTCACTTCCTCGAAAATTTATGCAACCATTCACCCCGATATTTGTTTTGCGTCTTTTTGAAATTCATTGAAAGTAATCATTTACTGAGTTTTTATAAAATGCCATGGTTTGCAAAAAAAGTATGAGCAATTCCACTTTAAAAAGGTGGATGACCAGCGAAGTTGTTTAGCAGACGACACAGACGTGTCAAAGCATTTTGAACAAAGGTACGACAAGATTTATTGTCTTGATTGGTGGTCATCGTGACGAGCCGGAGGAAAAAAGACACCCGCGGGGGGAGCGCCAATCCGGGAGAGCGGAAGGAAAGGAAACTAGGTTCGCAAGCGCTTGGGGCGACTACAAGGAGAGGGCGGTGCGAGAGTAGAAATAACCGACGGGGGTCGCACAACGCCAAATCTATCAGAAACCTTTATTATCTACGTGAGAGTCAACTTATCTTGAAAACGGAGCCTATTGATAACTAATCTACTGAATATGCATATCGAAGTGATGAGGCATAATCTTTTGCATAAAATGAAGCGATTCTGCACCATATTTGGGAACTGAGTTTTTCTTGACGGACACAAAAAATACACAAAATCCTAGCCAGAAATAGCTTCGCTATAAAAATAACCGTTTAGCATTTGAGCTGCCAATATTATGAGTTTCACTTCGCCGTTATAATAATCAAAATATGTTCTTTTCAGATGAATACTACAGACATACGAAATAGTGTTTATGAAAATGCGGAACACAAAGCTTCGTTTACAATTACTGAAATAGATGCGGGAATTGAAATGGTATGTACAAATACTTTTAAAGCATATATTAGGATAGGAACCATAAATATGATTATAAAAACTGTACAGGAGGTTATGCAATCGTTATTTATAAATCTTGTATTTGTTGACTACATAGATTTTCGCGGACATTTTATAAACCTGTAGTGCTTTTTTAAGTTTCGTTAAAATGAATGTGTATTAAGCATATTGGAAGTTCACATCGCCACAGCGTATAAAGAACATTATTTATGAGAACTTTAAAATAAATATTAAGAATAAGTTCTTCATAAATTGCTTTCTAACCAATTGAATTTCTAATGAGGATGAAATGTTTGGTTAGCTATCCACAAATGGGTCTGCAACAGGCAATGCTTGCAATATTCAGAAATTTTTCCCTTTTGTAACAGGAAGGATACCTAAACTTTACACATCGAATTGAGCCATTGCGAATACTTGACAAATCCGGCCGAATCCCTCACAAAATATTTCAGCTCCCTACCCCTGGGGAGGCAATCCACTTGGAAAGTAAGTGGCAGAATCAATCGCTACACTAGATATTTATTGAAAATTCGACGTTTAAAGGCTAGGCTTCCGGAAGCGAAAATGCTTAGAAATTTTAAACGTACGACCGAATTCCTTCCTTCAGCGTTCGCTTCACGTGCAGTGTCAATTCTTGTATGCTCTCAGGTATTTGCCATTTATTCTCTCGATGAATTAATTCACCTCCCGTTTTTTCTCTCTCAACACATTCTGTCTAAAGCGTTGCGAAATGACCGAATTAATTGATTATCATTGAAAAATGAAAAGGAGAAGTGCTTGCAAAGGCGACGGCCACTCAGTATTTCATTATTTTTTTACTTGCATCATATCAACGGCCCCTGTATAAGTGATCTGAGTATGTAATCCGATGTTCAGAGTAGTCAGAGTATCAGAGCATGTATGATCTCAAATCTTACCAATAATTAGCACTTTCTGAGTGAACGGAAGAGGTCTGTGGTTTGGCAATCATAAAAAAATTTCTTACATACAGATACTGAAAAGATCACACCTTAAGTGCGTACGATGTTGCCTGTTCTGTTTTTCCTAAATAATTTAATTGGTAGAGTCAGGAGTTCCGAGAAAATATTTTTCTTCAAACGATATTTAGGACGCAAAATATAGGGACAATTAGAACGTCCCGTATATCATTTTGCTTAATTATACTTGCTTTTGAGGTAACACATGCAAAAATATCACTTCGTCCTCCTTTTTTTCAAACAAAAAGAGTTATCTACTTTATTTCGGCATGGTTCAGTTTTGAGGTGATGGTATTTTGATAAACACATATGCACTGATATCGGATATTTTAAGAATTTGAGAAAATTACCTTGAAGATATCTTAACGACTAAAAACCGCAAAAACGGGACAGCAAAAAAGAAAAATACAAACAAAAACTAATTGACTGCAAAACACGAACTGTTCCTTTTAAGTTTGCTGAAGAAGAATGCCTTTAAAAAGATATAACCTTTGAATTTGATTACATTTCACATTCAGTATCACTATGATGTTTACAGTTCCCGTTGAAGAACGTTCCGATGAAAGTCTACCGTCGAAAAGTAAGCCTATTTTGTTTGTAAAATATTTAAAATGTCTCAGCAGTCCTCTCAACCAATTATATTAACACTAGGGAGCAGGCTGCGATTCCAGTTACACGCGCGGTATACATACTGGCCATTTTATAACTATGATCCAATTTTCTGTACACAGTAGAAACCCTAACTTTTCTGCTTTTCGTTTTTGGCCTGTAATATTTCGGTAAACGTCAGCACGGGCTGTCCGAGTAACTGCAATTCGAGACCGCACTTTGATGATATAATGAACTTGAAAACTTTCAATTGGAGGGACTGTTTCACTATCTTGCACAGAAATCAGGGTCAACTTATGTGGCATCGTGAATATTTAAAAAAAAATTATTTCACAGTTCATTCTAAACTTGCGAAGCACTGAGGACATGCCATGATTTGAAACCTTCTAGATGACACTGCAGAGCCACCCACCGTGTGGCGACCTGAAATGTACGTCATGATTGACAGTGTAATACACAAGTCCCTCAATGAAAGCAAATATCTACAGGCTCGATACATCATAAGGCTAATGAACATCGTGCGTATAATTTACATTGGTTCTTTGTTCAGAAATAATATAGTAATTCTAGTTTCCATTCACAAAAAAAAAAGGTGCTTATGGAGGCTTTCATGCTCCGATTGCTGACACCCGTTCGAATCCCTTATTTCTTCCACGAAGGTGAATGCAATCTTCAAGACGGTTCGCAAGCCCCGAATAAACCTCCAGCTTGTTGGAATATTCCGGTTTCAGGTGCGTATTCATTGTCCAAACCCCACACTTTGGTATCGTTAAATTTGAAAGTCTTGTTATTGCCGTCAAGAGTGCAACACAATTGTAAATTCAAAAGTTTTTGAAGAAAACACTTTTTTTTTTAAATAAAGTCCACTTTGTTATTTGAAACCGTTTGGATCAGATTGCGCTTTGCCAAGGGGACTCGAGTGAGCGGAATACAATAATTATTTGTTGAACTATAAATTATTGCATGCCTATGATTTAAATCAGATTCATTTGCGTTATACCAGATTAATTAATTTTACTTTAGTATAACTATAGACTAGTGCATTTGATCACTAGATGTGTTTTTGATCATGAGATCCATCCAACCACTGAAAATAATCCGGAAGAAATAATTACTGTATATTTAAAGTACGGTTTAAGTGACTTTTTTTTAGTAAAATTTGACATTGTGGAACAAAAAAAAGAGCTTAATATTGTGTGGCTGCGATTAGCTTAGACGACTGGTTTATGCTTGATTTCAGTGCGTTATGAGATTTTTTTTATTTTGTTAATTGATTCCTTGATGTAAAAAGAAAACAATGAATATACAATGCATTGCATGATAGAAAGTTTGTAAATTATACAATTATATTGGGATTATTTTTGTGGAAATGTTTTTATTCAAATTATTGTAGTGAAACAGGTGTGATTTGAAGCGAAATCATGATAGAAATCACGATTTAAACCGTCCCGACTTTTATTCTCCACCATCCTGTTAACGCTCATGTTTTCTGGGTTGCAAGAATATTGTATTGGTCAGCTTAATACAATGTTCTGTTTTTGACATGATATTGCTGCAGAGCAGGTTTACACAATTGTACCGGATGCAAAAATATGTTCAGTATTGTGATTTATATAATTGGTAAATAATGTAAATAATATTAGTTAATAAAGAAACTACCACACGTTTAGGAATTTGTATCAAATGACAATGGCAGTAAAATAGATAAAAATATCCTCAAGTGATTAACCCTTTTAAGTTACACAACTTTTTTCCTGAATTCGTGTGTAGGTCACGAGTCACAAAAGTCACGGGACGTCGTTTCTTCTTCTAAATTTAGCGGAGAAACTGAATTGCTGTTGAGGTCAAATTTCGTTTAGGTCACGTGACCAAGTCACATGACATCAATTTTTCTGCCATATTTAGCGGAGAAACAATATTTCCTTATAGGTCAGGCGACATAAAGTCATGTGACGTAATTTCTCCGTCAATTCAGAGGGGAAATAGCAGAGGTCGAGCAAAAGTCGAGACTCGGAATTCAGTTCTTCTATTTTCTGAGATGCATCGTGGGCGCTGCAGCAGTTTTGTAGACGTTACCGAAAAAAAAAAAAAAAACGAAATACGTTACTCATTACAGCAGTTTATATCAAGGCCATACCATTCATAGCTGTCGCCTATCTTTTGTGTTCTCTACAGCATATACGTAACACTGCATTAGCAACTAATACTTTTCCCCATGGCATGGAAATTCCAAGAGTTGCTGTCTTGCGCAAAGCCCAGGTTCTTTTGACAACATTAATAGATATAGGACAATATCTGCACTTCCCTTATTTTTAAAAGTATTAGAACATCCGATAAAAAAACCCTAAGGAAATTTTTGAATGATAGAGATGTCTTCGTAATGCAGCAATACGGTTTTCGACAAAAAAAGTCAACAGAAATGGCGCTATTTAGTAAAAAAGAAAAATTAATCAACATTTTGAAAATCAACTATTTACTACTGGAATATTTTTAGACTATAGAAAAGCGTTTGATCTTATTAGATGTGATCTATTGTTTTAAAAACTACCGGTTTTTAGAATTCGAGGTGTTGCTTTAGATTTGGTACGTAGTTACTTATCTTGGCGGTTACAATATTCGTGTTTGAATGGATACCGGTCAAAGCCAGAACAAATTTCGCATAGGGTTCCATATGGGTTTAGTTGAGGTCCTCTGATTTTTTTAATTATTTATATTAATGATATTGGTACCTATCCCAAACAGTCCTGAAATATTTTTGTATGCCGACGATACAAGCTTTTTTCTTTGCTGGACCATTTTTACGTCATCTAGATGTTACTGCTAACACGTGGCTCAACCTGTTATCGGACTGGCTGGACTCTAACAAACTTCAGTTAAATGTTACGAAAACAAAATAAAAAATGTGTAAGCCACGAGTTAAACCTGACGATTGTGAAATTTTCCTAAAATCCCATGACTCTGTGATAGAGCGCGTAAACGTTTATAAATTGTTAGGAGAAATTTAAGCCTGGACACCTTATATAAATAAAATGAATGCAAGCATCTTGATATATATTGGTATTTTATACAAAATTAGATTTCTGGTTCCATGCTGGTTAAAACGTCAGTTGTACTATACTTTAGTTACTTTCATCCCCATTACTGTTTATTCGTTTGGGGTTCAACAACTACAAAAAAATATTGAGAGGTTTCTTTCGCAAAAACAAAAGCTATACTTTTTACAGGAAACCTTGAGCATACTGACCACATGGCACCATTCTTTTAGAGCGCAGATCTTAGGCGTCCGTTTGTGGCTTGAGCGGCGTCGGCGTCGCGGTCGGCGTAACCGTCAGGACACATGACCTGACGGTTATGTCCCGTGACCTCCATGATTTCACGTGACCCCGTTGACATCACGTGACCTCCGTGAGGTCACGTGACACAGGGGACGTCACGTAACCTTCGTTAGGTAATGTGACACCGGTGACGTCACGTGACCTCTGTGAGGTAACGTGACCTCCGTGAAGTAACGTGACCCTCGTGAGCTCAGGTGACCCCATGAAGTCACGTGATCCCCGTGAGGTCACGTGACTCGAGTAAGTTCACGTGGCCCCGGCGACTTCACGTCACCCTTGTGAGGTAACATGACCCCCTTGACGTCACGAGCGTCACGTGACCTCACGGTTACGCCGATGGCGTCCGCGTCGCTTTTGCCATCGGCGTAACGGTGAGAAGTAGCAGGCAGGATGAGGAGGTGAGGAGGATGAAGGTCGATGCGCTTCCCTCAGTACCCTTCTCTCCTCCTCCTCGAGAGCTGCGCTCTAAGTCGGTTTTACAGGGAGTTGTACACCCTAAACAATTCCGTGAGTCTACTTTCCCGCTACAACCACTCGGAGATCCAATCAGCGCAACTTACGGAGGCAGCTCAGCGAATGTTGATAGCGAAACATATGTTTAGACCAAAAAACGCAGTCTCAGTTGAGATTAAGAAATGCAAGCCTGACGTTTTGAATTGATTAATGTCGCAACTCAGACTGCGTTTTTTCGTCTAAAATTATGTTTCGGTATCGTCATTCGCTGAGCTGCCTCGGCAAGTTGCGGTAATTGGCTCTCCGAGTGTTGCGCGGGAAAGTAGACGTACGGGCTTTTCTTAGAGTGTAAGCGGCTTTCATATTTTAAACACAGTTTACTTACCACTCAAAATAATTAGTACCCCTCCCGTTTCTTTCTTGACGCACTTCTTCCTAGGAATACACAATCCAATCTTCGACACCGCTCCTATAGAATAACTTGGTCTTGGACGAACTATGGACATTTACCAATTAACATACTTGATACCTGATTTCCTAAATAAACATCCAGGCGTTAGGAAACAAAAACTCAGATTGTGGAACAAAACACAGCTTTAAAATTAGTCTACAGCGGGACCTTCTCTCATGTCATGTTGAGCTAATACATCTAGATTATACTTTCATTGTGTATGAGTTGTATTAAGTGTCTTATTTATTTCCAAATTATTAAGTGCACTAACGATTGTACAAGCTCCGCACAAAACATGCTGTGTTGATTTTTGCTGATGTGCATTTGTATCTTCTTGTAATCTTTAATGATTATTGTTTTTGTTTTCGCCTGCTGAGCATTGTAAACGGGTGATAGGCTCACGTCAGGCATAGCTAATCGGCCTTTTGTTTTGTTGCCATAGGCCTAGTGTCTACATAAATCCAATTCAATTCAATTACTTGCAAATAAAAGGAACGCGTTGCAGTTACCGATATAAAGTAACGCAGGTTATGTTGGCGTTACTTTTTTAGATATGAAAGGATATGTTTTGATGTTTTCACGTTACAGGTATACTTAATCGCCATATTTCTAGAAACATTATGTCTATGCAGACACTGAACATAATTACATATCTTTTTTATGGCTTCACCCAAATACTCACAAAAGAAGCAAAGAAAAACGCAAAAAAATCACTTAGCTTCGCGCCTTGAAGCACGGAAAAAAAATTCCGTAATTTTCTTTTAAGTTTTAGTAAGTATAAGTAACCAGTAACGTAAATCCGTCACCCGTTACTCGAAGTGCATAACGTAAGTACATAACCCGTTACTCTTTTGAAGAACAGTAACGAGTACGTTACGCGTTACTGATAAAAAGTAACGCGTTACCGGTAACGTCGTTACTTGTAACGCGTTACCCCAACACTGGCGCTGAGTCATAAAACGCTGAACCGTCTTTTTGTCAAAGCAGGGAACTCTATATCCCCCTCGAACTCAAAAAGAAAACGTTGCACTCCGAAATACCCAATCAACCCAATCAACAGTGAGACAACAGTCAGGGCGATGTCCGGGTTTGTATAAAGGAAACGAAGAGAAGAAAAGCGCCTTTACCTTGAAGGTTAGATATGTCACAAACAGCGGCAGAAAGCAAACGGAATGGTTTCGTCTCGTTGACGGTACAATTCATCAGGATGCGCTGCTTCAATTTTGACTGAAGAGGACCACGTGAAAAGCAGATCCCGTAAGTTGCCATAGTCGATTTGTGTTTGACGGTCTCTTTATGCATGATAGAAACCACTGATATTTGTTTCGTTTCTTACTTACTGTTACTAGCGCCACCAGGAACATGCTTAAGGGCCGTTAACATGCCATTGCACATTTACGCTCATTTTACTTAAAGGAGTCCATAACCATGCGACAGACGAGCCGAGGCTTGTGGGGGACCAGCTGCACTTGGCGCTGAAAACATCAGCAGCACCCAACCAAAATACGCCGATGCCAACTTTGTTTAAGGATTAACTTCTCCAAACCTACCCTGCAGTTTCTTTCCAAATTATTCTATCTACCACGCCTACAAAGTGTCATGCAAAGTTTGCTAAACGAAAACACTAAATTTATCTTAGGTGCCAGATGAAGAAGCAGCAGATGTCCCCAGATTGCCAGCCTGAAGGATTCGATGTAAGGAGAAAGGAGCTGAGCGCAGCTACCAGTTCCTTCATCAGCCGACACTCAGCAAGACAACGACGCCCACAAAAAGACAAAAATAGCAGAGCCCTTCATCATCGACGACAGCAGAGACCCTCGTCTTGAACAGTTACCTTCGCAACACGAGATGGCATGCAAGGGCTGTCGTCCGTTAAAATTATTTTTTGGGACGGGACTGTTTTTTTTATCTTACATGTGTGACCAACTCGTAGCTGTGCATGTTTTACCTGACGGAGTGCCCAGCGCAGCCGTTTCCTTTTGTTGTCGGGTCGGTTCACTACAAATTTACGCCCGGGCGTTTGAAGGGCTATATTTACATTCACATCTGCTGGGATTCCTTTCTTAACCCCTGAATGTTTCATGGCTCATATTGAGCAAGCGCTTTTTGGTGGTCTGCGCGTCGTGTTTCACCAAGCTGCTCATCGCGGGTGCCACTTTCATTCCTGCAAAAATAGTTTGGGCTTCCGTTCAAGGGGCTTGGTTCCAAAGCGCATATTCAAGAAACGGCTAGCTAGTTTTTCATTCTTAACCTCGTGGTGCTTTCCTTTGTTTCGCCTTCTGACATCCTTCGCCCTTGTGCGTTTCTGCGTCGGGGCGTATATTGCTTGATATTCCGGAGCTTATTGGATTACTTGATTACTTTGACGCGACTTGGATGAGGGCATTTTTCAACTAGAGCGGTGAAACCGTCACGGAAACAGGAGATCCAGGACCAACAACCATTTAGAGGCATGGCACCAAAAAATTAAAGCCATGTCGCGAAGATCGCACCCGAACCCCTTCGCGTTCATTGATTTAATCGAGAGAGACGAGGCCCAAACAAGAGTCATCTTGCTTCATGTTGGGAACGGGGGAGCTGTACGTGCGCGAGGCCGGAAGTGGGCTAAAAAAGTAAGAAAACTGGCGGAGATTGAAGTACATTGTCACAGTGGCGTCATTTCGCTTTTTTTTTTTCATTTCTGAACAATGCTCAAGCTTCTTTTGAAGTATAGGCATTCCTGAGAGCTTTAGCCGGAGAAGTAAGTGTGTGAAAAAAGTTGCAGTCGATTCGTTGTACCAGTGTGTTATGTGTAAGAAATAAAACAAAGATACGTTTGCTGCAAGCAGATGAAATCTTTCTAATCGAATGCAGAAAAATGGTTTCGAAAAAGCCTGAAAGGAAGGAGGGGAGGGGAAGGGGGGTGCTAGTGCGTGTCTGTGGACATATCTTATATCGGATGGTATGTTGGGGCCCCGAACAAGGTAAGAAAGGACCGTCAGTCTGTGTTGCGAAGAAGGGTTCCTATGGTTCGGTGAGGGTAACAGAGAGACCACTTATCTCAGCGATGACCTTGCACTATTTTAATGTCGCGATTACATAACACCATGTAAATGAATAAGAAAAACGAAGACATATGTCTCAAGGGAAATTGGGTATTTATCTGTCTAAATCAAAGGTATGAAATCGCTTCCGTTTGCGCAGTCAAAGCCGTCGGTTTTATTTCGAAGTTAGCAGCTTTGGTTTTCTATTTCAATTTTTTAAAATATTAATTTTGTCGTGACAGATGACGCTGTCAAAACAAAACTAGCTCCTTTCTAATTCGTTTTCGTAGAGGTGCGTATGTTTCATTTAGCTTATTTTCCTTAGTAGACTCATTGCTAATTATCTTACAATTTTATAAAGAATTAGTTCTAGAAACATCATTGCATCTAGAAAGTACTAATTATCGATGATAACCAAGCACCATTTTTAACAGCGGTCTAATTTGTGATTGGAAAAGTAATAAAATGTAAATATTTTCGTTTAATTCTTTATGTTTACAGACGAAAGAAGATGAGTATTTTGTTGTGGAGGAAGATAATATTGTCTCAGCGTTTGAGTCAGTAAAAGCCTTTGGACAATTCACCGCAAACACCACGTTCGCAAGGCTTGCCGATTTCTACCTGATGCTCTTTGGGTAAGCAAGATCACGTAATTCTTGAGGTCCAGTTGTGCGATTGAGGCAGATATAACATATCCTAGTTCCTTATGGCGACTCAATGCTCACAATAAATAACACACTGCTTAGATAAAATCTTTGACTTCCTTAACCTCCCAAAACACAGATTAGCTTTTATTTCAACTCAAAAGCAGTCCTAGAATTTTTTTTGACAGAAACGAGTACAGTTAGCTTTCAACTTTTTTTGCCTAAACAAGTGGCCACATGATCTCCTTCTACCGATTCTAGGCAGGCAAGTGGCAAATCCTTGGCCGCGGCCGGAGGGGTATTACCACAGGGTGATTCCAGAAGAGGCCAGGCTTTTTGAATCGACCGCAAAGTTCGGTTTCTTAACCTATCGCGCCACAATTTTGTGGAGCGTTGCCCAGAAATGGCGCATTTTTTTTTTTGTAAGATTATAACGAGCGAAATTTCCTGAGTAAAATGTAAAGAAAGAAAATGGTTTAGCTCCATGGAAACGCAGCGAAGCCAGCGCTCTTCAAAGAACACGGCGCCGTTTCGGACCGGAGACAAGAGATGCCGCAAGCGGTCGCGACGCCAACTGCCGCCAACGGACGAGCATACGACACCGTTAGCAGAAAAGGAACTGTAGTTCCTTGTTCTTACCGCGCCTGTTTTTGTTTCTGCGACTGTCGCCGCCTGCAAAACGCGCGCCGCTTTTGAGTCGAAAAGGTCGTCTGCTAAAGACGCCGGCTCTCGGCGCCGTATGCTCGTTTGTTGGCGGCGTTCGTTGCGCCATCTATTGTCTCCCATGCGAAACGGCGCCGCGTTGTTTGAAGACCGGTGGTGTCGCTAAGTTTCCATAGGAGCTAAGCCTTTTTGTTTCTTTACTTTTTCCTCATGTAAATTCGCTCTTTGCATATTTTACAAAAACAAAATGCACCATTTCTGGGTAACGCTGCGAAAAGTCATAGCGCGATAGGTTAAGGAACCGAATTTTGCGGTCTATTTAAAGAGCCTGGCCTCTCCTTGAATCATCCTGTAAAATTGGGCAATTCAGTGCACCGCAGTGATTAGATGCAAACTACTACTGAAATGTTCGTGTAGCTGTTCATTCTCACGAGCCTAACTCGAGTAATTACGCAGAGCTAATGTGGAATACTCGAGCCGTTCTCGACACTTTACCCCATGTGATGTGAACCCCGTAACTACGTTGTTAATTTTTACGAAGCAGAATTATATTTTACCAATACAGGGAACCTCCTGAGCTAATAGTGTTTCCTGCGAGTACAGTGGGATACATCGAAACGGTTCCAAAATGAATATGAAATGAAAACGAAACCATTTAGATTTTGTATTTAAAAAGATAATCCCCTTAAAGATGAACGCACTTGATGCAAGGTTTTCCAGCTTTTCTATTCACTTTTGGAACGGAATTGCTTCGAGACCCTCAAATACGCAATTGAATTCCTCTGTTACCTTTTCATATGATCGAAATATCTTTCTAACCAAGACATATTGAGTTTCGGAAATAAATAAAGTTTGAGGTAATTCAAAGTTCCATCCTGTTATGTTTTTTTTTTTCTAATCGGAGCAAATACTGAAGGCAGATGATTTGCTACGCATTAAGAACCCTTACAAAAATATGTATGGACGTCCTATGTCCATACTTTTGCCGTTCTATTACCTCTTTGTTCATCCTATGGATTCCTGTAGACAGTTCTTAGACCGTCTATGTACCATTGGTTTGCCACAGAATGGACACAAAAACGCTATAGAGATCTTCGCGAAAGAAAAAGTTTTTTATTCCTTCTTATTTCCGTTCTATGGTCCCGGTGAGTCTATGGTCATCCTATTTCCTCTCTATGGTGTGAGCTATATATTGGGGCATTAACAAAGTGATGCCGGGTAGACGTTTTCTTTAGGTGTAGGGAGGTGTCCAAGTTAAAGAGTTGTTAATTAAGTTCCGGGTATCAATATGTTACATTGATGTCTAGAGGCATATTCAACCTCAGGGTATACTGAGATGGAAGTGTTTAGTATGTGACGGAATAATGTTTGTACTTTCTCAGTGGGAGGTAGGTATATGTGGGTCGCTGCGGCCCCCGTAGATATTCGCAACTTTCACAACCCATAGGGGGCGCACTGGTGCCTATCAAAATTGCGGTCATCTGGATGATCGTCATTGCAAAGCGGTATACTAGGCTGGGTCTGCGCGCGACGCGTAAGTAATTGTAGTTTTGCTATATATGCGCAGTATCAGAGACTTACTTTATGTTTTTTTTTCACGTCAGGAAAGTGTAGGCAAGCCATTTTATTATGATGCCAATCATCCGGGAACTAAAGAGTGCGATTCTCACACCGCGGTACCACCATCGCTTAAAGTGGCTTCTCTATGGACCCCGTAGGGACTCCCTGCAGACCCTGTATGGCTTCTCTGCAGACACCATAAGGAGCCCGTGTAGACCCTGTATGACTTCCCTGCGGACCCTGTATGGCTCCCCTGTGAACCCCTTACGTACTCCCTATAGACCTTGTGTGGCTTCTTTGCAGACCCCTAAGGACCCTACTCTCATTAAAATGACTTTTACAGAGCACGTTTTTGCGTAAAAACAACTGGGGAAAAGCTCTTTTTGTAGAACCCTTTATTGGAGATCAGTACAAACTGACAAGAGCGTGATGTTTGCATACACTTTTAGCTTACAGGGTTTTGCGGCAAATGAATATTTTTTTTACAGCCATGCCTCACCGGCGTCTTCAGGTAGCGCGTCCCGACTTGGGTGCGTCCTAACTTCGGTGGCAATTCGCGGCGTGTCCGCCTGGGAGACGGGGTTGGCATCCCTGAAACCCCTCTTCTACCGTATATGTTTCGGCGCCAAAGTGGCCGATTAAAGCCAAAGCAGAACAGTCACATGCTGTCAAATATCGATAGTCCCAAACCAACACACGCAGTCCTGCAGTTATCCGAGTAGCTGCTGCGGGTGGAATGGTGGCGTTGCGATCGCAATTAGTTTGGTTTTCGAGTACAGATCGGTGCCGCTTTTTCAGAGCAAGCTCTTTATCAGTTTCCCAACTGACTTGCTCTAGAAACGTTGGTCGGTGCGGACCCCATAGCAGACCCCCTGCAGACTGAGTGGCTTCTCTGCAGACCCTGTAGCGACTCCCTGTAGAGCTTGTATGGCTTTTCTGCAGACCCTATGAGGACCCTGTGTAGACCCTGTATGGCTTCCCTGTGGACTCCCTAGGGACTCCTTGTAGACTTCGTATGGGTTTTCTACAGGCACCCTATAGACACCGTAAAGACCCTGTGTAGACACCCTATAGAGTCCTTATGGACTCTATATGGCGCCTTGCCATAGAGAGGGTATAGGATGACCACACATCATCCATAGAATAGGACGTCTATAGAACGTCCGTTGGCCAATATTCTATAGGGCAGCCATACGACGACTTCACGGAGGCAACAGAGGTCGTGGTCCACCTATAGATGCCTTTTGTCCTCCCTATAAACGCTGGTCTATAGAACGTCCTAGAAGTGTCCATACATAATTTTGTAAGGGAAAAGGCGACACCCATCTTGCGGAAAGCTCTCTGTTTTTGAATTCGATTCATTACGCAAAATATTATCTACTGGGTTACGAGAGATACCCACGGCTTCCTCTATTCTACGCATTTTATTCAGCGACATGCAAAACATTTCGTGTAGACTGCGTGATGTGCTGACCGTTTCACTGTGTAGCGAATCTGATTCTTCGCTGAATGTATGCCACACTGCTGGAGCTTCGAAACCCCCAAAACTCACAGTTGAAAACGATATATATATATATATATATATATATATATATATATATATATATATATATATATTATGAGCACGGGGCCTTTGATTTTATTTTTGATTAAAATGCACAAGGTTGTATGACTTGAACGCTTGGCAAAACTAGAGTATTACATAAATCGATTTGAAATTTGCATTCAATTCATTCGAAATTGTTGGATTCCAAAAAGTTTCACTTTATCCTTGTACAAGACAACGTAAAAGCAACGCACAGACGAATGGCATAAGAAACCCAGAACGAGTGCTAGTACAACGAACACTTATCAAAAAACAGACAAGAAAAAAGCCGACCCGATCATATACAACATTCCCAGATTCTCAAATTTAGCGTAGGGAATTTTTTAAGCCGGCAGTATTTTGCTAGGTGAAAAACACCCGAGGAGCAGTTTATTTAACCTCCAAACCGTGACCTACAAATCTCTGATTTGTTTTTCTTATGTCATCCGTATCATTCGTACTACTGGCAGATAATTGTTCCACCCACGTTATGCAAACACCATCTAGATTACGGGTTCAAAGCAATAGTACATTTTCCTGTTTTCTTAGAAAAAGACATCTTTATTCTTATTTCGGCATAGTTCAGTTATTCGGAGGTGGTATCTAGTTACACACATATGCGCTTATATGTGTCTAACCGGATATGTGCTCAAGAGAGAACACATATGCGCTGATATCTCTCTCGTCTTTGCCTTTTTCTTTCTCTGCGCTGTATTTACCTTACATAGTGATAAACGAACTCGCCTGCATCGCCACTTTTGCTACCCTCGTGCTTCGGTCCGACTCGTGCCAGCAAGCTTAAGTAAAAAGCATTTCAATCCAAAATTGTAACATGCCCTCTTTTTTATGTGCCCGTCAAATTGACTTTACGGCAAGGCGACAAGAGACGTGTATAAAAAGTTTCGTTGCCCCTCAAAACGAGGGGTAGAGGTGCATGATTTTGGCTAACCCAAGTAGCACAACTCGCCGGTTTGGGACTGGGGCGGTACCGGTCTGCCGGTAAGATCCTACTGGGGCGACGCTGGAAACGCACCGCGGGGCGACAACGGGCCAGTGAGATTGCCAGTCACTGGCCAGTGACTGGGACGCCCGGCACTGGGCGTCCCAGCGAGTTCCCAGGATGCTGCCAGCACAAATCCCCAGCGTAGTACCAGTAACGCGGTAAGATACCAGCAAGACCCCA